CCCTCCCCCCCCCATCCCTCACTGGTGCCCTTTCAAACAATGATGTGGGACCTCGCGAGGGCCCATTCGGGACTGACGAAGGCCTACGTGCTGTAAAGTTTGCGCCAGCACATCCAGCAGGATTGCTAGCTGTCACCTCCAATTATAGAACTTAATATGGAGGCAGTGTGCGCTCTGCACTTCCGTGATGTTCTGGGCTTTTTTAGCAGCAGTGATGCCACCAACTGGCCGAGGGCATTCTGTGCTTCTCTCTGTCGAGCAGTTAAAAATCTTTCAGTCAAAACAGGCCAGCAGCGCCACTCTGTGTAATAGAGGAAGTTAAAAGGCCGAGTGACCTAAAAGAGAAAAAAAGCAGAGTTGTTTTTAGCTTCTGCAGGGTCATCAGTTTTTCAAGTTGTGAATTTAAGGAGAGGTGATCATTACCTACTGTATGTTTGGCGTGTGGGTTTTCTAGTTATTTGTCTACAATAAAAAAGCTGAAAAGGGTTACAGGGTTGTATTTTTAAGGAAAACAAATATGTTTGAGTATTGTTATCATTAATGTGCATGGTGTAACACTAGTTTAATGCATGGGTTGCTTTTCCACTTTATTCTATGCATCATCATTTTTAATGTATCAAAATATGTGTTTTTACTGTATCTTTTTTTTTACAGAATATCTAAAAGAAATGATAGAAATACTGAATATATATATAAAATAAAAATCTTAAATTCTGGATTATTTTCCTCTTCAGTTTTACTACTACTACTATTATTATAATTATTATTATAAAGATTTTAGGATAACCATATAACCAGCACCCATTTAATTTTTTTATTTATTTATTTTTGTGGAGCTGCCCTCACAACCTTTGACTTTCTTTACAGGTCGAGACATGGCGAGCACAACCCTACCAGGATACCCACCTCACGTTCCCCCCACTGGGCAGGGCAGCTACCCCACCTCTACACTTGCTGGAATGGTCCCTGGTAAGTGTAATTACTATTTTTATGAGGACGTTAATTTTAAGAGAGCTCGTAATATTTTCAGCGAACAGTCCTCGGCAATTGATCATCTTCAGGAAACCTGAGGTCATGCAAAGCCAACTTGAATTTGCACTGCTGCACCTGGAAAATAAAATAGTCATTTGATAACAATTTTGCATTAATATTCGATTAGCATTGGCCCAAAGCTTCCTTTCCTGTTTGAATATATTAGTGCAGAATGCCAGGTAACATTTTAAGAATGAGAGTTGAGAAAGAGAAGTGACACAAGCATACTGCCCATGACATTTCTGGTGATGCTAATGTTTATTAAACAGGATAATATTAATGAGGAGCATAATATTAATGAGAAAAAGATTAATGAGGAGCCGTAATTGCAGGATGGCTGCAAAGACAACAGCGGGCAGCATGAATCTCGATTTCGACTAGTCAATAACCTGAGAAGTAGCCTCAGTTTATCGGCTGCTGAGGAGAAAATTAGCACCTCTCAATAAGTGATCAGGGACATAAGTGCGGGATATAGGACAATTCCTCTCAGTTCCACTCGGGTTCCAGCATTCATTACGCCCCTCCCTCGCTCTCCCCGACCGTTCGACGCTCTCACAAGCCATCGATAAACACAGCTTTCTCCACCCTGCCTCCAGTGCTGCAGAGCGTATCTCTTTTCCCCTCTACTTAACCTGCAGTTCAGGTTCACAGCAAACAGTTAAGGGTCACAAAACAGTGGGCAGGAAGGCCTGTAAATATTTAAATCACTATCTCTCAGAGGGACCTGACTTGAGTTTCACTGCCAGGACAGGATGCAATCTGGCAGCAAGACCGGCGACCTCTCCCCAAACAGCACAAACACACACATACGTATGCAAACAGACAGTCTGAGAGGTGCTGCAGAGAAGTTGGAAAAGTGTAAATGCAATTGTATGTGGAGCCAGGGGATAACATCAGTGCTCACAAAGTCCAAGCACAAACATGCAGTGTGTGAAAATTGGAAAACAAATATTTTACATCAAACACAGAGAGGGATTCTTCTCTCGGTCACCGTTGAGTGCCTTAGATAGATTCAAGTCTGTCTTGGGCTTCCACGGCCCACAAACATGAATAGTTCGCAGGGGCAAATTTAATTCAGTGACAGGATTCATTTGCTGGGCAAACATATCTTTACAGGTACATCAAATATGTTTTCATCAAAGATTCATTTTCATTGGTCACACAGGCTGAGAAATCCTCTTAAATCCTAGAGCCATGGGTTTTGTGTGCACTTCCATTCATCTGGCCCTCGAACGACTAAGATTTAGTGACAGACCCCAAACACTGTTAAAGCAAAAGCCATTCCTCACCAGCTTCATATATAACCCAGCCTTTATTGTCTCATAAAAGAAAGAAACGTGGGCGACCAACAGCATTGCTCACTGACATGGACAGGGCCGCTTCCTGAAAGTAGAATTCGGCCGTATAAAAAGGGCCGAGTGTGTGCGAGAACGAATCCATTGGGGAGGTTTTTTGAAGCCGGGCTTTGGTGCGGCCAAAGAATAGAGAATCGTAAGAGTGCAACAGCAGAATCAAAGAAAGGAAACTTCAAAACCCAGCTCAGGATTAATGTAACAAATTCAGCCAAAATGGCCGAGCACCAGGGCGTAGGAAAGAGGACAGGGAGTGCCATCTGCTAGCTAGAGCTGTGAAACTATGCCAGTTCCTTTAGTTCTGATGTGCTGAACTAATGCGATGCAATATTTCAAGCATAGCATTAGATTAATTCAGTACAAGTTAAGCTCAATTGACAGCATTTGTCATTACCTTGCCATAAAAATGAATTTCTACTTGTCCCTCCTTTGAATTTGAATCACACAAATTCAAAAAACATCAAAAAATAATGTTCTGAAGTTGTAAAAAAAAAAAAAAACATTATTGGAGTAGATTTTACAAGAAAAAATAATTTTTCACTTCAGAATTATACATTTAATTAGTTTTTTTTTGTGAAAAAGGGGGGAGTGAATTATTTGTGAAATTTACTAGCAATTTTATTAGAAATCCTACACCACTTTTTTTTCAGTGTGTTAAAGAGACAAAAAAAAAGATGATTTGAACAGCTTTACAGCTCAAATACTGCACAGGTTAACAGATTAATTCATTGCAGGGCTTTTATGAAATTGCAAAATTCTTTAAAATCCTTCAAAATTGGCTTGAACCTTGATTGTTGCTTTTTTGTTTTATTTAAAATATTTTTTTTGTGGTGATCAACTTTATTCCACAAATGCTGACAGTTGAGCTTAATTGATCCTGAACGCATGAATATGCCTTTAAGATACACAATTTGCTTTATTGCTAACTTGTCATTTGTGTTTGATTTCAGGAAGCGACTTTTCAGGAAATCCCTACTCTCACCCGCAGTACACAACTTACAATGAAGCTTGGCGGTTCAGCAACCCCGCGTTATTAAGTGAGTATTAACCCTTTTTGCTTATCCCTTATGGGATTAGTCGCTTTAAAGTGGGATTAATATAATCACATTTTACAATGACATTATTTGCATACAGCTTTACTAAACTAGCTACAGTTTTATTTCTCTTTTTGATTAGCGAGGTCATAACACACTGCATCTCTAAATTAAGACGCGCATAAGCCCTTCGCAAGTGCTTTTGTGCGTGCCGAGGTTCCCAACCTAATAGAATAGTCTGACTGTATTTTACATAAGCAAAATTATTAAGAGTGGGCGTAAGTGTTGCTCTTGCTGTGGTTTCAAACACTGCGCTCTTCTGTTAACTTCCAGGTTCCCCTTATTATTATAGTGCCGCATCCCGGGGCTCCGCCCCTCCCACTGCTGCCACTGCCTATGACCGCCACTAGTTACCATGGCAACCCAATCAAACTGCTGGACCATGGCCACGGCCTCCATATCGTACCAGTCTGAATGCCGTTAAGGTCAGAGGGATTGAAGATGGCTACGCGATCTTCAGTTTCACAGGGCCGAGATCGGATTAGGAGGGTCAAGCAACAGCGGGTCCTCCCCCCCCAGACATCGACTATACCCCCCTCACGCAACATCAACACTAAGGCTCTCATTCTCTAAATTACTGAACAATGACTGAACTATTTCCTGAAAAGACTTTGAAAGATTCTACAAAAATATATATATTATACAAAATATAAAACAAGACGAACCGTGTGAAGAAGTACGAAGTAACAATTGATGTGTTGTTGTTTTTTTATTTTTGTTCTCTCTTTAAATCAATCAATACATTCCTTTACATACTGTATTTAGTATAACTAACAGATCAAACACACATACAAGGTTGCCTGAGGCCTTTAACATAATTTGCCCTCGTCCTACACCATTTCACTAGTGTCTTACCTCTCACAGACAGAACAGCGACGTGTCAGCTGAGCAGAAAACTGCAGTATTGCTCCAGTTTCTGTCAAAAAGACAAGTGTAACAGTCTTAGAAGCCATCTCTGACTCGTGGTATGAAATTACCAACATGATTTAACATTTTCTGTGATACACAATCAAAATGGGGGAAAATAAAATAGAAAAAAGAAGAAAAAACAGGTCAGACACTGAAGAAGTTGTTAACTGTTGCTGTATATGACCTGAAAAGAAAACCGTATATTAAATTATTGTTTTGGTTTAGCTGATGGTTTGTGTGCGTGTGTGCATTTGTGTGTCATACCTTTTCGGGATATTCCATTTTATCATGTGTAAACTCCAATATCATGATCGGTGCCGCTCTTTTCTCGTTTGCACTATTTTGCATTACTGGATTTATAAGTACAATGAATTGCAATTATCTTCTAAAGTTTGTCAGATTACATGTTCTATTTAAGTAAATAGGTCGACTCGAATTGACAAAGTAACCACAACATTGGACAAGAATACACTTGCTATATGCTAGAAACTAGTATATGCCTTTTTTGTCCTTTAGTGTGGATTCCTTAAAAGACTTCCTCAAAAGAACCATGTTTGTATCGTGTAACTGAGACAGAACGACTCTGACTGGCTCAGTACCAAAGTAATCATTAGCAGTCAATTGTACAACAAATGCCTTACAGCTTTTTTAATTTACTTTTTTTTTATGGTTTGGCTATGGTCCTGAGAGGTAGACATGCATGTAACCCTTTTGTGTGGATGAACAAACGTTTCTCCAAATATTATGTGGGACACTGAGGATAGAAATGGAAATGGTTCATACATACACTCCTGGAAATGTAAAGTGAATGTACTTTATACCACGTTTGCCAAAGACTTAGTTTGATATTTAATATTTTATTTGCTGTATCTGTCAATAAAACAGTATTATGTTTTAATAGTAGTCAATACTGATTGTATGTGGTAATGTTGAACAAAAAGGAAAAGATCCATCTTAGCCCCACAGCAATGTACACAAAAAGGTGAATTCTGTTACTCAAAGGTATGTCATTGGCAACAAACTGCTGCTTTGTAGAATGATTTGTGTATAATGTGAAAAGAATTCTTCTATGTATATAAGATCACCTACATTTCACCATTGCAGTATCGTACTAATTTACTGATTCCATTTGTAGATATTGAAAGAAAAAAAAAAGATTGACTACATTTGTGTCTTCAGTGTGTTGTGCTTTGCAGAGACGCACAACAAAATGTTTGAAACCAGTCCTGCGTCGGTGGCTTGGTTTCAGATGCTATCACCACATGTGCGGCTGTTTGTATGTTTTGTTTTGGTTCACTTTTACTTAACTTGTTCATACTGTTTAAGTCTCTATGCAAATCAAGTAAAATGGTATTCTGTATTCTCCTTTACTACTGTGTTCAATTCTACCCTTCATTTTAAATGATCCCTAAATCATGTATAGAGGAAAAGCCTGTAGAAATGAACAAATACATTTCACATGCCTGGGTTTTGTGGATTGTTTTTGTACTTTGAACCTCCCTGTACAATTCAATACAAGACTTCAGAATTCTGAAGCTTTTTTTTGTTGCCATTATTAAGTTAAAGTTATTTTACTGCAGAACCAGATTATTCAAAAATCATAGCATGCAAAGGGGAAAAAAGTCAACAAATATAACTATACATAAATGTACACACAGGACAAGTTCTAATTCACACAATACAAAATAATAATAATAATAATAATAATAATCAAATAAAAAATTATTTGGCTCTTTTCCCGCTTTAGAATGAAGAGATTGTTACCCACTCACTGCAACCCCCATTTGTTTGTGGCTTTTGAAAATGTGGTCTTGACAGAATTAATTTTAAAACGAGCTGACAGCAGCAGAGCAGAAACAGAGACAATTCTCCTCTCTGATACTGTATGTATCACACACATAATTTGTTACGGGCAAAACAGAATTATACAAATATGTAACAAAAATCAATATGGCCTCAGCCATTACCTTTATTCCACCTGTCTGTCCAGTTCTTTTTTTATGAGAAATACATTTTTTGTACGTCAGCCTGTGACTGTAGTAGTGATTATTAACCCTTTCATGAAAGAGTCATTCAGAGTTCAAGGATACGCTGAGCTGTAAGACATTCGGTTTGTATTAACACTAGTTATGAACGCATCACATTTGTTAATGTAGAGCAAATAAAATAAGTGTTTCAATGAAGTCTAGACGACAGGGAATTAAAAATATTGAAACATAATAACACTGTACAATAACTAATAACAAAGTACAATATCAATTGTAATATAAAATACATTATACATTATTCACATATATTTTTATTCATATTATATACACAATATTATTTTATAGAAATTCTATTGTTTATAGAAAATCAAAATTCTATTACAACTGGTATTATATATAATAAAACATTTATAAAATAAACGCAATATACACAAATATATGTATATATTGTTTTTATATTCTATTAATATTTAATATAAATAAATTGTAAATCCATATTTTTCTCATATGTTTGACAATTTGTAAACTAAATCATTTGATAAACTCATATTTTTAAACATACATCATTGATTTTAAACAATTCATGTATACACAATTTATTTTATAGTAAAAAATATACAATAAAATTATTAGTGTAAAAACAACATACATATGCATTTATATACATATAACACATATATACACACTGATTTTAATCCCAATGCAAAAAAGACACAAGAGGATGTTTAATGCAGAAAGAAACAGTGGGAAGCAAACCTAAAAGTTCAATCGAGGAAGAACGAGAGGAAAGAGAGTCTTGGCGAGAGTGAAATCGTAAGCAAGGAATGGGAAAAGCGGATGAACGGAAGCAGAGAGAAGGAGTCACAGTGAGGGTGTAAAACAGAGTGTGGACTATTTAATGATGCATTGGGTTCCCTCCGCAGCTGACTGCTGCCTGCAGCAGCTCTCCTCCTGCCCGAGCAGACAATCCTACCCTGCTGTAATTCAATTTTTCTGCCTATTGTTTATTTCATAGCTCCCCTGTGAAGCATCAAAAGCTGCTGTTCTGTCAGCCTCTTACTGTCGTATATGTTTGTCATTCAGCCCTTGTTAAAATAACGAAAAAAGGCCTGCCTCTGTTCTTCCCCCAGCTGAGAATTCCCAGTGGTAAAATTATTCCATTTAGATGGAAACTTTTTTGTCACTCCCCTGTCTAAATTGGCATATCTGCTTCTTTTGCTGGAACCAATAAACTGTGAACCCGGATGCATCTGTCAATCAGGCTCATCTTTACTTTAGCATGCCAGATGACAACAGGGGAGATGGGAAAAAAGCAGCAGAATGGAATCAGCTGATTGGCTCTCATCAGCAAGCCATTACAAAAAGCACCTGTCATCCTCTCGGCTCCTCAAACACTGTGAGGGGCCCAAGCTCAGTGCTGCTGGAGATAACTATACAAACAATTGCATGACGGTTTAGTCTCATTCTTAACTGAAATTTTGTAAAGTGAACTTTAAATTCCAGTTCATAGTTTTTCAATGTTTATATGTTTACACTTTATATAAAGGCATTATAATAATACTGTGCATAGAATGCACTTTTTTGGGAACTTGTGAAATTAATAAATACAATTATCATTAAATAAAAAGTTAAAGCCTTTAACAAATTCTCAAAGTATTATACACTTTAATTAGTAAAATGCAACACTCAGTCCTAAATAATGAGAAAAGAAAGCATAAAAGCACATCCGGCCGGGCGCAAACCAGCTTCGATGAAGTAGCGCCTGCAGGGATGCAGGGAGTATGGCAAAGAGACGCAGCGTCTCGTTCCCTCGGGGAACCATGGTTACATACGTACTCTCGCGGGGGGGGGATCTAGCGGGTGAGGACCGAGAGCCGGGGGATCTAGAGCCACGGATCTAGCGGGTGAGGACCGAGAAAAGGACGAGCCCGTCTCGGATCCCTCCGCTAAATCCACCCACTTTCTCATTGTTTTATATATATGAGTGCTTGTGCGGACAGACAACAGTAAATAGACAGACACATACACAGAGCGCTACTGAAGAGCAGAAGCTGGTTTGCGCCCGGCCGGATGTGCTTTTATGCTTTCTGGTGCTTACGTCACCCTGCTCGAGACGTCTCCCTGCTCCATTGGACGGATTTGACACGTGCTTCAGAACGCGGTCACGCAAGGGCGTTCCCAAAGCGACTCGATGCAGCTCGAGTTCCTGAAGGGGAACTTACTCCATGTATGCTACAAAACGCACATGTAAGCGCTATTATCTGACAATCCACAATAGCACTATGACTGTATTACTCTGGTTTTACAAGAATAACCTGATCACTGACATTGAAACATACACGTTACCAGGCCAGCGTGACATCACCTGCATCTCATCAAGCATTAGTCACATTGGTAATCGCACGGAAAATGTGTCCATTTAGTTCTATGTAAATTTCCTACAAACAATAAAGATTTGTAGACACATTATTCATAAGAAATGGAAAAATGTCTAGTGTTTTCTGAGGCTTGAATGGGGAGAAAACGGCATCATCTGTCATGGGGTGTCACACTGGAGAGAGAAGGAGCACCAGAGGAGCTGCACTGGACAGCACTCACTGTTAAGTCCTGTCAGCCGTCTATGTGCTCATCATCATCACTGCTGTCATATTTGATGCTGGGGAGGGGAAAGGCCAACCTGGGGCTGTCAATCAAATCCACCTCATTAGGGACACCGCTAATTATGAAATTTTCTATGATGTCTGGGAATGGAGTCTTTCTTAGGTACTGCATGTCATCAAGACAGTGTAGTTTGTGAGATGACAAGACCTGATTTTCCACGCTGCTTAAGAACAGGGTGTGCAAATTAAAACATCTATGAGAACAACACAGGCCCACAAAGAATCTGTACAAGCAAAAACTCTAGGAGGAAAAAAAAACCTTCAGCTTCCAGTAATTGCTCCAGATTTCAATTTCACCTTCTGGAAAAAATGTGGATAAACCAGTTTGCTAATCTTTGGCCATTAAAAATAAAAAATAA